CGGAAAGACCCTCAGAAACCTCACCATCAATGAAATCCCCGTTCAAACCCTTTCCATCGCAGATGTTGGGGCAGCCCGTGGCTGCATCCCATACTCCACCACAGTCGGCACAGAATTGAGCACCGCAAAGGCATGTCAAGTCGCTTGAATCGGCGGCGCGCTCGACCAAAGCACGACACTTGTAACATCTTCGGACGCCAGGGTTTGAACCAACTTTAGGCGCGTTCTGGACCTCTTGGTCCTCAGGGCAATCCGTGCCCACAGGATGGGCGTCGGCTTTGCAAATTGTGCAAACTCGGGTCAAACACTTTCGGCACGTGGCGACAAACGGAGTGTTAGGGTCTGCGAGTTTCCGCCGCGGAATGAATTCTCCACACGATGCCTTTGAACAGGATACCCTCATCTCCCACGGCGTATTGAACTGCACAACGGCTTTAAGAAATACTTCTTGAGCTGCTGGGTCTAGCACTGCCTGTATGGTTGAGGCCTGTAATGGCAGACAGCATCGTGGGGGCATTTTCGACTCATCAATGGATGCCTGGTCAACCATGAATCGAATGCAACCGGAGCAGTAGCTATGGCCACAGGCTAAATGCTGCAAGGCTGTAGGGCTTTTGAACTCGCTCCGGCAGTTGATACATGTCCTGAGAGACCTGTGTTAGCTCTGAGCGCGCTGGATACCAACGCGAGACGATGTTGAGACTCACAGGGCAGGTTCCAAAGTCCGTGAGGGTCGCCTTCTTAACTTCATGCGATTTCTGATACCAGAAAGGCTCTTCTTTGTGCTCACGCTGAATATGCTTTGCCCTGAGCTGTCGCCCACGCTTGACTTTCGCCGGCCATCATCGAAGGGGGATGTGTTCTGTGCCAGATACTTTTCGTACGGGGTAAAGTTGTAGTTTCGAGCCGGCTTGGGCGCGGAGTCCGATCCCGCAGGGTCTGGGCTAGGCGGACCGAATATGGAAGAGTGAGGCGTCAAGTATGCGCTGTTTGTTCCGTCTGACGCTGCAGAGAAAACGTGATCCTGGGAAGTCGACTCCGTTGATTGCGACGATGCACTCGAGGTGTTGCATTGGTAGTCGGAAATGGAAGGCAGGGTTGCCTTGATGCCCAGAGTACCGGCTTTGACAACCAACTCACGATCGATGCTCAGCTCGGACTGATCAACGGAAAGCTGTAACACATCAGTACAGTACTGAGCGTCGTTCAGCTCCGGAAGCAGTTGGTGGGCTTCCATGGCGACATGTACGTTGGTGTGTTGCCGTGAACTCGAGGCTGCAGGCTGGCAGGTCGTCTAGCGCGATACCGAAGGCGGGTGTTCAGCGGCGTGAAGGACGGGAACATGTGTCGAGGAGGTGCGGAAGGCAACGGTCAAATATGTTTCTTGGGCTAGCTCTTGCCGAGCAGGGTCAAGCGGACGGGCACAGCGGTGATGGCGTTAGCTCTGCGATTTGGAGGTGTGGGGGGTGAAGATGAGTTGGGCGGGTTTGAGACAGGCAGACCAGATCCGACTCTCGATATGGCGCTTCGTACCTTGATCCAACAGCCCAGCGCGATATGGCGTTTGGATGTCTGAGAGCCAGCGGGACTACTAAGCAGGGTCTCAGAAATAAGGAAGCAGGGTCGGAAGGGCGGAGCAACGAAGGTGGTTTAGCGAGGCGCGGGACGCGGATCAGGGGGGGGGGGGGGGGGGGGGGGGGGCGGATGGAGAGCGCGGGAGGGTACGGGACAAAGGATGGAAGAGAGAGAAGGGGGGGGGGGGGGGGGCGCTGGCGATGGACAAATTGAGAAGAAGTAAAATGAAAAGCATCGCCCAATCTCGATGAGGGCGGGATGGGATGAGAGCCGCAACAGACAACCATGAGGGTGTAAGTTGAGGACCGCTATATCTGTGGCCACCTCCGAGCTGCTGAGCTTCGGCATTTTCTTTGCCGCAAAGCAAGCCGTCTCGTTGTTGTTCCATGGCATCATCACACAACATTGTCAAAAAGGAAAGCGGCCTCGGCTCGACCACGAAGTCGAACCTGTCCATGACACGGGGGGGAGTTTGGGGCGACACCGTGTGCACGCCCCCAGAGTCAGGGATCGCAGGGCCGCGGCTGAGATCTAAACATGCGTCCAGACCACGGCACAGTGACCACGACTTTGTCGCCATTCCCTCTCGGTGAGCGTCACGGCGGACATGCTGCTCGTCATACAAACCAGCGACCAGACGTGTCAAAGCACCTGCTCAAATGACCGCGGCTGTCACATCGCACATGACAGCCAGGCGGGGCAGTGATTCGGCAAGACGGGCACGACCCGGTGCAGAAGGGATGGTAGGCAGGCGATGGGCAATCTCCGCCCGCCGTGGAGCACTTTATCGCTGGTTACGCGGGCATGGCGTCGCCCGAAGATCCTGGTCACAAGCAGGGCTTGCGAGCAGGAGAGAGGGATGCCCTCCCCCCTCCCCCCTCCCCCCCGTCACCGCAAAAGCAACAACTGAAAAGGATGACAAAACCCCCGAAGCGGCAAGTAAGAGCCGTTGGTGCTGGGACGGATCGGCGACTAGGGTGAGCCGGCTGGGGCGTCAAGCCTCAAGCCATCCCCGGCAGCGGGGCGGACACCAACTCGTCCATCCGTCCATCCATCCCTTTGGGCAGACGGACCCGTCGCCTGTCCTGTCCTTTTCGCGGGGGACTCTGCCTCTCTCTCTGCCTCTCCACTCCCCTCGTCAGTCCTCCAGCTGGCCTGGCAGCCTGAATCTGCGTCACACCGCATAGGCTGCGCTGCTGTGCCAGCTGAGCCTCCTAGGCAAACTCAGATCTCACGAAATCCAAGTCATCGTTCCCTTGCCAATGACTGCGTGGTCGCCCCGATCCCCTACCTATCCTTCCCTGCCCTTCCGCAGAAGCGCCGGTATCAGCCTTTGCCCTAGCCAGGTGTGGAACTAGTTCTCAGCGCTGGAGAAGTCGTAGGCAAGGGCCCTGTTCATGTTCCCTCGCCGCCACCGCAGAGAGCAAGGACCATCCGTTCAAGACGCCAGCTTACGAGGATATGCGCATGTACAGTACCTTGTCACGTCATGTGAGAGGTACCAAACGTAAGCCCTTTTTCTGCACAGGGAATCGATGATAGTTAGCACCTTGGCAACAACCGCTACCCCTACCTTCAGCCGGTGAGGAGGGCGGACGGAATGTGGTGGCTTCTCGCCGGCAGTTCTTGCCCCCTTGCCTGAGCTTTGCGACTCGTCGGCCAACGCATGCTTCCCAGCTTTTGCCGAGGAACAAATACGGTTCACTTTACGGACTACGGAGCACTCCGTGTCCTGGCTCATGCACAAGTTGGCTTGTGCTGGTTGACGTTCGCTGGATGGCATCAGACAAGATGGACCAGGCGACCAATCCCGTACAAAAGTGTTTCCAAAAGAAGCAAACACCAGGAAATGGGGGCGCTCCAGACAGATGTTGGCAGCAGGGTCCGGGATCGAGGCCTCCCGGTGTCACCCCTCGGGTCCGCGCCTGGACCGACTTGGGTGCATGTACCCGGAGTGACTCCCTGGGTAAGGGTGTCTGGTCAATGTCTCGGTTCGTCACGACGCCCCATGTTTGACACGGCAAACGGAAAGGCAAGTCGCGCTGTAGCCTCCATTCCTTCCCCCCCGATGTCGACTTGTCCGCCTGCTGACCCTTGTCTTGCGTCTTGACGCACCTCGTCATCCTCCCCCATTTGGCGCAACATGCAGCTGGGCTCGAGGCCGAGAAACACCAAACGGGCATGCAGCGCTCACGAGCTAAGAAAACGCGCCTGTGGTGATCTACAGGCTGTTCCTATTTCCGGCAGCTCTTCCAAATCTTTTGCTCGACACAAGCGGTGTGCCACTTCTGCCATATCCTTTCGTCTTCAGATGGCCAGTTGTCCCCGATGGTCGGAGGCCCGGAGCCCAATGATGAGATATTGGTCCACTTTCTGTCTGAAGGGTATAGGGGCCGGGCCGCGTCGGGCTCTGTTTGGGCCGACAGGCAAGGCCAGGTGTCTGGAGCGGGCCGTCGGATCCAAGGGCGGTTTTCGGCCGAGATGTTTGCTTGTGCCTTTGTCGCAAGAAGCACGGCATGCGGCTTGATTGTACTTGAAATCAAGGTTGAGCAGACGCCAAGCGGGCGGCTCATCTGACAGCCCTACGACACCGGCCCCAAGCGCTTTGCCTGTCTCAAGTGCGAGAGCGCGCGGCTGCGCAAATAGGCAAATCAGGCGTCAGCGGCGCTCGGCGTACCGGATAGTCGACGTTGAATATGCCTCAACAAGCCTGTGAAACTGGGCCTCCCCTCGAGGCTAACATCGGGCCTGGGTGCTTCCGAGCGTCGCGGCTCGATGGCGCGGCAACGGCGCTGTGATCAGCGCCGAAGAAGAAAACCACACCGAACCCACAAGGCTGGCTTGGCGAGACCCCTCAAACGCCTTGAGCTTGTCCGTGTAATCGAAAGCATCGGGAATCGAGCTCAACGGACGAGACGGACTGATGAACCACTCAAAGCTCGGGGAGACACATCCGCCACCGGCAGCCACAGGGTCGGTCCGCGTACTTTCTAGCGGAGGGCACACGAACTAATGGCGAGGGTGGCGAATATGGAGATTGCTGAAGCGGACGGGCCCGATCTTGTGGAGGCAAGGACGCGGGAGAATATCTGGGTGTGGCGGCTGGAAGTTTCTTCTGGCCTCGCTCGGTCCTCTTGCCCCCTAGAGCCCAGTGAGCCCACTGTCGATGACTTGCTTCGACGACCCGGTCAACAGCCGGTCCGTCGTCATGTACTTCGTACCGCAGTGTACGTGCGTCATGATGCGGCGAGGGTTGAAAGACGAGAGGTATGCGCGTTTGCGAGAATCGTACTGGGTTCGAAGCGAGCGGCGTCGGGACTCGAGAGCAGCCGCTCTCTGGCAAAGTGTGACTGGAGCGCAACTGCTTGCCATTGTTGGTACAAGGATGCCGGAATATAAACCGATTTGCGAAACTGGAGCAGCATATACGACCATAGGCAGTGGAAAACACGGGGTCTCGTCCGCTCCCCCATAGTAAAGCCACTGACCGGCAGATTAGTAGCTGGGTTCGGTGACGACCAGCGAACACCGGCTGTTGTATATCCTTTTTTTTTGTTCCTCCCCACTCCAGAGTCCAATGCCTCGGCCAGCTGGCGGAGCGCTTCAACCAAGCCGTTTCTTTAGGTTAGGGCTGCCTCTTCGTTTACACTGGACCCAGGACATTGAGGGCAGTGTGTTCCTACCCCCCTCGTCCCGCACAAAGGGCGGCGGCTGGGCGCCGAAGCCTCGCAATCCAGCCATATGATCGACGTAGTTTGCAGCACCTAATCAAGTCCGGTGGCTTCGGCATCTCAGTTCGTCTCGTTTTGCACACCCTGGCAGCCTTTTCACAGCCTGGATCCTGCTAACTGACGGCGTGCAATCTGCGCCCGCAGGTCACGGGCTTGCGTTTGGTCCGCGCGCCGGGGGCGGCGGATCAATCAGCCCAGTGACAACCTTGGAGGCAACCGTGACAAGCGTGAGGTGAACTGTTAGGGACCTGAGGAACCAACTGACAGTGGGTCTTGTTGTGCTGGAACTTTACCTGTCGAGCCCCACAAAGTGCCGGCGCGTCCCGCAGGGAACTCCCTAAGGTGCCGTAGTCAGCGTCTTCCGACACCACGGATCCCCGCCATTCCCAGCTCCGCCAACATCCGCAGATCCCCTCAGCAGTCGCGCGACTCCATCCACGGCAACTCAGCAGCGTCGGTCGCGAATCATCGACGCCCGGGTTCGTCATCTTGAACGGCAGCCGGCGGAATTCCCTGAAGCCAGCCGCATGCGAATCATTTGCCGCCATGGCTGGATTGATTGATCCGACTGTGGCCGGCAAGTACCCAGTCATCCTGGGCGACGGCCTGCTTGGCAAGGCCTCCAACGAGATTTTTACCGGCATACGCTGTAGGTGGCAGCATCCCTTCCAGGCGTTGTTCCCTAACTCACAAAGTCCCCTGGCAGACAATCACAAGCCGGCGCTGGCTTCGAGCGATGGCCCTGCACTGGCCCGCCTCCGACCGTCGTTTCCCGGCAAGACGACCTCTTACGACCTCAGCTTCACCGACGGGGACGACAAATACGCATATGCCGGTACCCGAAGCGTCGGTGACAATCAATATGTTCTGCACTTTGACCCGGATCGCAAAGCGTTCATTCTCGACAAGATCGACTCGACCTTCAACATGAACATCACCCGGATGCCTGGCAATTCCGACCCTGCCAAGCTCAGCCGGCAATTCCCACATCTCGACAGCCAAACAACGGAGCCTGACAAACCTAGTGCGAGCAAGGACGCCAAGGTTAAGTCGGCTGCAAAGGCGACAACCAAGGTCCCTGTGCAGACGAAGCCGAAACGCAAGGTCGAGAAGAAGCAGCAAACGGAGATGGCACTGCCGAAACCCGTACCGGTCAAGGAGAAGAAAAGCGCCAAACGCGTCGAAGAGGATGACGAGGAGGAGGAAGATGACGATGACGGCGGTCTGCTTATCGAATACCCCGGTGGAGATACTGCGAAAAAGCACAACGATTTCTCACCGGCATTCCCGCCACCCCGCCGCTTTGATGACTTCATGGACCAGCGCGACTCGGAAGGCGACGCAGATGGCGAGAGCGATGACGAGCCAGACATGGACTTCAAGTTGCCCAGCCCCGTCAACAACCACGCCTCGCGACCGGAACCAATGGACGAGGACGACGCGGATGAGCCGCAGACTGAGGAACCGGCCAGCATGGATATGGAGAATGACCTGGAGAAAGAAATGGAAATGGCATTCGGCGATCTGGAGAATGGACAGGAAGGCAGTCCAGATGGTGACGAGAGCGAAATTTCCGAGGAGGACTAGATGTTGCGGTGATTGCCGAGGGTCTTGTTTCTTGGTCTTTTTTCCCCCTTTTGTTTTGGCACGGAGTTTGGGTGTTCGGGTAATGCTGGTCATGTTGCCCGGCGCTTTGGGAATTGCATCTGCAACAGAGACACACTCTGTTATGACTACAGAAAGGAAAAGACTAGCTAGGACAGTTCACAGTTTTGCCTCAATCTCCCCGCCCCGTCGTCCACTTGAATCAGCGTCATCTCGGGCCATGTCGAAGTACCCTTATTTCACTATAAAAGCACCACCTCACCATCCTCATCGTCAAACTTGTATTTGTCCCCCCGCAGGTGGTCCGTCACGCCCGGAATCTCGGCATCGCACCACAGGTGCCTCTCCGCGTACGTCAGCGTCTTGCCGTACCTGCTGAGGGCGTCCTTGTCGAAGCATCCGACCGTCATGCTGATGCGGTTGCTGCTCTCGTTCTGCCAGAAGAGGAAGCTCCCGCACTTGGAGCAGAAGCCACGCGCGCAGCCCTCGCTCGCGCGGTACCGGCCCAGCGTCGACTGCGCGTCCCAGGTCAGCGCCGAGAGCGGGATCTTTTGTACGCGGAAGATGAGCGAGCCTGTCTGCTTGCGGCACTGCGAGCACTGGCACGTCGAGCACTGGTCGCTGCGCCGTCAGTGGGAGTTTTTTTTTGTTTTTGGTTTTCAGAGACGGATTGGAAGGAAAGGGAGAATCGCAATGGGCATACGTACGGCTTTGATGAACTCATGGTCGGGAGGGAAGTTGATGGTGTAGCGAACAGACTCGCAGAGGCATCCGCCTCGGATAGTCTGTGGCTTCTCGTCGCTGGCTCCCATGGTCAGGGTTGTCTAATCAAGATCCTTATGAGAAAGAGGAAGACTCTTGTGACCAAGGATGAGGGCAGACAGGATAAGAATGTTCCCAGAAGACGCAGAGACTAGAATTACCAATTGACCTGGGGCGGGGGACGTACAAATTATATAGTCCGCCAGAATGCGAAATGTCAACGACGCCTTTGTCGCGTCCTTGTTCACATCGTCAATCACCATTTCGTCACTACATTGACTGCGAGACCCTGGGCGCTGCCCCGCGACCCAGTACAACCGTGCATTAGCGCCACACTGACGGGGCGAGACGGGGGGAGATCTTGGCAGGGCGCGAGATAAGGCCCTGTAGAAATGCGGGGAACGCTGAAAGTTGGGCATTTGCCATCGCACTGCTTCGACGCACGCTGGGTATGGGGAAATGCGTGCCTCCGTACAGTGTCGCTGGGACGAGGAAATAGCTACAGTACATCCCATCGGGCGATCCAGCCCACGTTCTCGCCTGCGTTTCTGACAATACACAGTGTCCCTTCCTTGCGGTTGTCCCTCACGTCCGCCAATACCTTGTTCACAGCGATGCTGCCCATGGCGGCACCGCGGCCGTCTGTGAGACGGTACGATCCCGACGTCACAAAACCGACGAGGTCCTTTGCGTCCGGGACCAGCGGATGCCCGCCGATATCGTGCTGGTTGGGGGGACCAGAGTTGTAAGGCGCCTGTGGTCTGATGAGTTCCGCGGCAAGCGCCTTCTTTCGTGCCTCCATGTCTGTCGGCCACGGTCGTTTTGTGCCCCTGGTCGGGTTGGAGCCCGAACGCTCATGAGCAAGGGCGAGCCACTGTGCGCGGAGGTCATGTGGAAGGGCCACCGTGGGTCTCCCGTCCGGCGGGAGGGTGGATGGCACCTCTGCAGTCGCAGAACTTTGTACTGGCAATGGCGTTGATGGGAGTCGGTATATCCTGGCGCAGGGGGAGACGACCCCGCGTCCGACCATAGATATTTTGACGTTGACGGTAGCGGCTTGTATGTCCGTGGAGGCGGCCGGCGACGTGATTAGGTCGTCAAATGTCGTCTTGCTGACGTGGCTCAGATGCTTGAGAGGGTGAGTCTTGACGTCGACTTCCGGCGCTGCCGGTTCTTCTTGATCAACATCCATGGCATCGCCCGCCGAAACGCCTTCCACCGAAGCCCGCGAGTTGCCTTGTGTTTTGGATAGTCCGAATAGGAGCTCGAAATCGCATGCCAACGCATCCCCTATCTCGCCCTTCCGTCCTGCGCCTAGGTCTAAGGATGCCCATTCTGTTCTCTTGCTTTTTGGCCGCCTCTCCCATTCCCTCTTCCTCTTGCGGCGCTGCGTTAGCTCCCATTCTGCGCCAGCATCCGTGGCTAAATGCTCAGCAGGGAACCAAGGGAGGCCACGTTCGAACGCCACCTGCATGGTTTCGTTCATACCACCAAATCGAGGGTTCAAGCCTGAGATAAGGGGCACATGGACGAGGCCGTACCATATGGGAAGTATGCACCTCCAAGGTGCAAGGAGAGTCCAACTCCCCTGTGAGTGAGAGACAGATGCAGAGCGAGATGCCGCGAGGATGATGGGAATTGCAGGGTCAGTTCTCGTTGGCTTCAACATCGAACCAGGGGCAGCATTGCCTTTCCTCCTGTTGATCGCCTTTTGCGATGGGAGACATGAAGCAGTGTGTCTGGCATCTCGATCAAAAAGAGCCGATGGCTCAAGCCCTGTGTCTGCTGGCCAATTTGCCACGGTCTCGAGAAGGTTTAAATGTGCCTGGTCGTCGGTGAGAAAATGAAGCTTTCTCGGCGGGTATCGTAGACGAGGATCTTGCACAGCAAAGCTGAGGACCGCATTCGCTGGAAGAGTAGCAGGGTTTGTCAATCCCTGCAAGGATTCGAAGAGTGCTCCGTGCGTCGACTTAGGGGAATCCTTGGTTGAGAAGGGCGTCAAAACCGCAAGTAGCGCTTCAGTCGATGCCGGACCGGTCAGCTCGATACTGCCAATCTCGAAACGCAGGTCCTCGACGTAAAGTCGGGGGTTCTCCATCCTCGTGAGTCTCACGAGCTCATTGAAGAGCTCCAAAAAAGCCGAAGGATGAATCCTCAGGAACACCTGCCTCTGAGTCTTCTTTGCATTTGGTCCATCAACAGTCCCATCCGGTTCTGGGTTCCATAGTACTGTGGCCGGACATATCTGGCGTCGACCGTCGCCCAACGACCTGCTCAGCATGCCACACCAACTTCTGGTCCCCAATCTCCACCGCTTACCCCTGTCATTCCACAAGGACTCTTGCCCTATACCAATTCTTCGTAGCACCCTTTCGATGCCAGCAGGGTTCCCGTTGAGGCCAATGGTGCTCATATAGCTCATATCCCAAACCATCGTGCCGCG